AGCCCTGTTCCCAGAAGGATGGCTTGTCCGCGGCCAGGTAGAGGGGGTGGCCGCTGGTGAGGAATCCGGAGAGAGCGACGCTGTCAGGGTCCGTCATTAACAAACAGCCGCGCACAGCGTCCGGAGCCCCCAGGGAACTCTCCGTGCATCCTCATCCGTCCGGGCCCGCCGGGCTCCGCACCCTCCTGTAAGTTTCGCTGATTTTCAGCGGAGGCGCCAGCAATTCAACCGGGAAGGGATAGTCTTTCCCGGAGCGGTGCTGGAGGGCGTAGCTGGATACATCTCTCTCTGGAACCCTGGGTGGAGCTTCTGCTGTGCGGGAACCAGCTTTTTTCTTTTTAAAATGTCAATTTTATTGAAAAAATAACTTTCACAGCCTAACCGGTTTGGATCAGTGGATAGAGCATCGGCCTGCGGACTGAAGGGTCCCGGGTTCGATTCTGGTCAAGGGCATGTATCTTGGTTGCGGGCACATCCCCAGTAGGGGGCGTGCAGGAGGCAGCTGATCGATGGATGTTTCTCTCTCATCGATGTTTCTAACTCTCTATCCCTCTCCCTTCCTCTCTGTAAAAAAATCAATAAACTGTATTAAAAAAAATAAAGACAAGGTTTAAAAAAAAGAAAAAGAAAAAATAACTTACATACAAAAATGTACTCATTTAAGGTGTCTGATTAGATGAATTTTAACAAATGTACTCACCTGTGTAGTCCTCACCGCAGCCCTCACTCCCATCACTCCCCCAGATTTTCTTGTTTCCCTTGCAGTCAGCCGCCTCCCCTTCATGCCTAATGGGTATTAGGCAAATGCCTGCTTTCTGACACTACAGATTAGCATGACTCTTCTGGAATTTCATGCGTAAATAGAATCATAGGAACTGTTTGCCCTCTTTTGCTGAACAAAACGTGTTTGGGATTTATTTATCCACATTGCTGCTGGTATCAATAGTTTGTTTTTGTTGGGTAGTATTCAATCTGTATATCCAGTCACCTGCTGGTCAGCTGCCAACTTGGCGAGGCTCCTGTATCCAGTTATTCAAGCAAACACTAATGTAGACGTGTCTGTAAAGGTGTTTTGTAGACATGCTGAACATCTGCCAGCAGTTGCCTTTAAGTAAAGGTTACCCTCAGTAATGTGGGTGGGGGTGAGTCAATCAATTTAAAGGCCTTGAGGGCAGGACAGATTCCCCTGAAGTTCTGTGGACTGCAGCGTCAGGTCCGTGAGAGAGCTCCAGCAGGCCCTGCCTGGAGACCCGCGCTGTGGATGTCAGACTTGCCTATCCAGCCCTCATAGTTGCCTACACCAATTCCTTGTAATACATGCCTGACGGATACACCTGCTGATGGATAGCTGGGTAGTCCAGGTTTAGGCTATTCTGAATACAAATGCTACGAACATTTGAGAACAAGTCTTTGCTTGGACGTATGTTTTCGTTTTCCTTGGATACGTGCCTAGGAGTGGAATTGCTGGATCATTGGTAAGCATTTACCAGACTATGTAAAACTATAAAACTATTTTCTTGTACATTTTGCGTTCCTACCAGCAATGTATAATAATTCCAGTTGCTCTACAACTCCGCCAACTCTTGGAATTGTCAGTCTTCCTAGTTGTAGCCATTGTAGTGGGTGTGTATAGTGACATTTCTCCTGGCTTTTATTTGTATTCATTTGATGAGTGATGTTGAGCATCTTTTCCAGTGTTTATTTGTCATTTGTGTATCTTCTTTTGTAAAATACCTGTTCAGATATTTTGTCCATTTTTAACTTGGGTTATTCTTATTGAGTTGTAGGGGTTCTTTTATATATCTTGGATACCTGTTTTCTGTCAAATATATATGTATTCCATAGATTTTTCACTCCTGTCAATAGCTTGTCTTTTCATTGTAAAAAATGATATCTTTTAAAGAGCAAAATTTAAAAAAAATTTTATTATTTTTTTCTTTTATGTCTTGTGCTTTTGATGTTTAAAGAAATCTTTGCTTAACCTAAGGCTGTGAGAGTTTTCTCCTAAGTTTTCTTTTAGAAGCCTTGTAGTCTTAGCTTTTACTCTTACATCAGTCATCCATCTGAAGTTAATTTTTGTGATGGTGTTAGGCGAGGGTCATGGTTATTCCCCCCACCCCCAAGTGGACATCCAGTTCTTCAAGCACCATTTTTGGAAAAAGACTATTCCCTCTTTACTGAATTATCTTGGCACTTTTTATTTTTCTTTTAGCTTTTATTTTTTTATTTTTTTTAATTAAATCTTTATTGTTCAGATTATTACATTGGTTCCTCTTTTTTCCCACCATAACTCCCTCCACCCAGTTCCCACCCACCCTCGCCCTCACTCCCACCCACTGTCCTCATCCA